ATCAGACATGCAAGTTTCCTCACGATGTTTTCCTTCACCGCCGAGCACGTGGTAAAGAACATTAAGGTGACCTAAAAATTAAAGAAATATTTAAATCTAATTTATAAACGTGTCACGCATGCTGAATTTATTTCTTGGCAGCGCATTATGCTTACGACACGATAAATTAAGTGGTTAAAATATTCATATTTAGCTTAATATATTGCAAAATAACAAACTGTAAAACATTTACGATAATACAAATTATTTGTTTTCACTATTGATTTTTTTTAATGTTTAATAATGTTATGATTTCTAATATTTATGCAAATACATTGAATAAAACTACCTTTACGGATTCTATCGCGTTTAATTGATTTCATTTTAATACCCGACGTGTTGGATGTTTTCCAGCACCCACGTTCACGGGGGACTAAGATCCCGATGCCAGAGTCAACCAGGAGTATATTTAGCTTTTAAATTATTTCAATCTACGCAATCTACGCAAAATGAACTAACTGTGTCTTGCAATTGTAAGCTCGGATTTAGCGTTAATTTTATTAATTACATTTATAAAATTCGACGGCGATGATGAGGTGATGTGTGCTGTAGAGGCCTTTTTCGAGTCCCAGGATCAGTCCTTTTTTACAAGGGAATTAACGAATTTACGAAGTATATTAGCTTTAAAGGTGATTACATTAAAAATAAATAGAATTTACATACACTTATCCTATTTTGCCGTGTAGTGGCGGCTAAGAATATCCACTACCCATATCATCCCGTGGGCGTCATTAAAGATAACAAAGGAAAACATGCAGAAGATGGGCAGCAGCATCTTCCTGATAACAGCAACTCTACAACAGAAAACTAAGCGTGGCAAATATGGCAATATACCCCCCCCCCCACATGAGCAACGACACAAATAGACAGCCCCGGGTCACCGGTGCTCACTATTCCTGGCTACGGTGGCAACCATGATAACGGCGGGGCAGGGGGTGCTAAGAATCTCCGGTGGATGTTCGATTACCATCTTAAATGACTTGAACTGGCAACTTACAACGCACGCACCCTGAGGAATGATGAGAAGATTCTGGAGCTGGAAGAAGAGATAGACAAGTTGCGCTTTAATATTATAGGATTACCCGAGATCCAAAGAGAGGGGGAGGACACGGTGATTCTCGAATCCGGCAACTTGTTCTATAACCGAGAAGGCGACCATCTCTCCCAAGATGGTGTTGTATTTATCGTCTACAAGTCTCTCGTTAAAACCGTTGTAAAGATTGGAAGTGTATCGACAAAGGTTGCGTACCTTATACTCAGAATCACTAAACGGTATTCGCTGAAGGTCATACAGGTTTACGCACCAACGCCGGCACATCCCGATGAGGAGGTGGGGGGAAATGTATGAGGATATTCCTAGAGCCATGCATTCCTCCAAAACTCACTAAACGGTGTTAATAGGAGACTTCAACGCAAAGCTAGGCACAAAAAAGAATGTTGAGTTAAAGGTAGGGCAATTTGGGATAAGGCAACGTAACCCAAAGGGCTCTCAGCTAGCTGATTTCATAGAGAGAGAGGAACTTTTTATGATGAACTCTTTCTCCCAGATGCGGCCCCACATAAAGTGGACCTGGTCGAGCCTCAAGGGTTCGACAAAAAATGAGATTGACTTCATTATAACGACCAGACGGCAATTGTTCAATGATGTGATGTCTCAGTGATCGCAGGAGTGAAAACTGGCAGCGATTACCGAATGGTTAAAGGCACACAACCTAAACATTAAGTTGGAGAGGTCTCGTCTAATGAAGTCAAGGCTCCGTCCCCCTCGTGCTCTGATCCAAAGTCCCGAAAGTTTTCGGCTAGAGTTACAAAAGTCGAAGTTGTTGACGAGTATATTTACCTGGGACAAATAGTACGACTAGGTAAGTCCAACTTCGACCGAGAGGTGAATCAACAGATTCAACTCGTCTGGGCAGCGTTTGGGAAATTACGACACATCTTTTATTCAGGTATACCTCAAACCTGAAAACTACATTGTACAACCATTGCGTGTTGCCAGTGATTTCCTATGCAACTGAGACGTTGCTCTTCACTGCTGGCCGTATGAGGATGCTTAAGGTTGCTCAGCGAGATATAGAGACTGCAATTCTCCGGGTTTATCTGCGTGATTAACTTAGAAATGAGGATCCACAGTAGAACTAGAGTGACCGACATAGCCCAACGGATTAGTAAGCTGAAGTGGCAATGAGTCTGCCTTAAAGTTCGAAGAACCGACAACCGATCGGTAAAAAATTCTCGAGTGGCAGCCGCGTACCAGTGAGCGTAGTATTGGGCAACCCCCCACTAGATCTAATGGATGGATGCAGGTGGCTCAGGACTGTGCTTTGTGGCATACCTTGGGCCTAGTGTCATTGCTTTTCCAAAAACTTATTGATCAACCAGTATAGTAATATAATGCAAATAATTCATTTAATTTATGTTATATACATAGAATATATATATACAGGTATACGTGCAACATATATATATATATATATATATATATATATATATATATATATATATATATATATATATTGCCCGTATGAAACATTTTTAATGCAAGGTTATATGTTATTATTGTTACGCGCCTAAGTCGATGGCACTAACGCTATCTAGTGTCAGAGACGAGAGCGAGGGGAGCTTTTCAGAAAATGACATCACTAATCTTTCAACCGACTGCGCCATCTAGTCTCGAACCGAAATACTAAACTTCTAGAAGTTGAAACTCGAACTCTCAGTAGCTTGCGCGTGTTTACTTGAATATTCTGGATATTTCGGTGCTAATTTATATTTATAGGCGCTGCAAGATGCGATCGGTGAAGTATTGGAGTTGGCGAGACAAGCGAAGCTTCGGAGCGGAATAAAGTGAATTAGTGTGATTAATTATTAGTGTTTTAAGTTTAATTAGTGTAAAGTGAATTAAAGTGTTAATTTAGGTAATTCTATCGGCAATTTTTATTGTCACGAACCTCAAGCTCGTAACAATTGGTGTCAGAAGTGGGATAACATCATGCCGATTTTACCTAAAGAGGAAACGGAGGGTGTCCGTACCCGCAGTCAACGCCAGCATGACACGGACCAGAGGAGATTTGATGGTGCAACACCGCAGACGTCGGAGGGTCAACTGCCAGCCACGGAGGCTGCGGGCACGTCAGTAGCTCCTACATCTGCAGCACCTGAGCTGAGTTAGGTGCTCTGATGGCGATGCTACAGGAGCAGCTGCAGCGCGGACGAGAGGAACAGGCTCGTCTGTTGAAAGAGCAGCAGGAGGCACAGACTCGCCGACAGGATGAACAGGCCCGCCGACATGAGGAACAGGTCCCTCGTTTGGAAGAGCAGCTGCGGGGCGGACAAGAAGAACAGGTCCGTCGTGTGGAAGATCAGCTGCGGGGCGGACAAGAGGAACAGGCCCGTCGGTTGGAAGAGCAAATGCTCCTCATGAACGATCTTTACGCTACCTTCGGGAAGGAGATAAAGGAGGTGAAGGATAGGGTTGCTCAACATGACAACCGCCTGTCGGAAGCTGAAACCCAAATCAAGGAAGCTAAAACCCAAATCGACCAAGTGAACAATCGGGTTGACAACGTGATGGCTGACGTGAAGAAAACGCTGAACGACCTCAAACTTGGGGATGGAACTACAGCTCCCGTAGTAGCTACAGCACCTTCGCTACGTGGATTCAAAGTGCCGCCGTTCGACGGGACTTCTTCCTGGTCGACCTACAAAATCCAGTTCGAGGCCGTCATGGAGGCGAACGGTTGGAATAAAAGCCAAGCCATGACTGCACTCACCCTAGGCCTGCACGACCAAGCCTTAACTGTGTTGGAAGCTCTCGGTAAGAAAGTGACCTACGAGAAGCTCCTTGAGGCGTTGGAGGCGAGATATGGCGACGCTCACCTGGAACACGTCTTTCGCGCGCAGCTTAAAGATCGCGTGCAACGCAGCAACGAAAACCTGCAGCAGTGGGCGCTTGAGGTGGAGAAGATGGTTCGAAAAGCATACCAGTCTGTACCTGCGCTCATTGAAGGGAACCTGGTTCAGACATTCATCGACGGCATCCGCGACCTTGAAGTCAGAGCTGCTGTGAGGCTCGGGCACCACGAGACGCTTAAGGACGCCTTGGCCCATGCACTGGAGGTGGAAGCCATGCAGCAGGATCTTCGCTCCCATCGCGTCAGGGAGATTGCAGCAGCTACGGTACGCGACCGCAATAAGAGATACAGCCCTAGGTGCTATGGCTGTGGGGAAAAGAGCCATCTTCGTTACAGCTGCCCTAAGCGAACCCTAGAAAGGGAAGGTGAACGATCTCAGAAGGGAAGTGCGGCTAACATCACCGCTCAGCAGCAGCCGGGATACGAGTTTACTATCAGACATCGCAGCGGGAAATCTCATGGCAACGCAGATGCACTGTCAAGAAGACCTAGTCCTGAAGATTGCAAACATTGTACTAGGCAAGAGAGTAAGGAAGTGGTATCCGTGAGGATGCTCAGGGCAGACCACCTCAGCAACGAGTGGAAGGACAGCTTACAACGTGCACAGCAGGAAGATCCGGACATCAAGCCGATCCTGGAATGGATGAAGGACAGTGCTCCCAAGCCCAAGTAGAACGACGTCTCAGCGATGAGTTCGATCACTAAAAGCTATTGGTCCCAGTGGGACAGCTTGCTGCTTCAGGATGGAGTTCTGTGCCGTAAATGGGAAAATGTTCGGGTAGACCGCTGTCATTTGCAAATGGTTGTCCCTAAGGCTAAAGTACCGGATGTTCTACAGCTGTACCATAATGATTGTTCCGGAGGCCATCTGGGAGTTAAACGAACTCTACTGAAGATCCGAGAACGGTTTTATTGGCTCCACTGTCGAAACGATGTCGAGGACTGGTGTCGCAAATGTACAAGTTGTGCGGCTGTAAAGGGACCTCAGACTCGTAGCAGAGGTGCATTGACTCAAATATAGACCACCTCCAAGGAACACCCTCAGGCATGTCATCACGCACTGATGAACAACAATCACAAACACCGAACACGAGTGTTGCATCGCATCTGTCATTAGACTCGCCGATCCCTGATCTGAGTAATGACTCAATAACGCAGGAGACTCTTGATTCCCTGGATATACGACTATCAAAAAGTTTGGACTGCACTGTGACCGACCCAATCCCAATTCAGGAAATGAAAGAGACTATCAGTCTGCTACGGTCAGAGTATGCAATCCTACAGAATGAATTTGATAATACTTCATTGGAAAATAACAACCTCCGTCAGCAACTTAGCAAATTGGCAAAAGAAAATGATATGCTAAAGGCCCTGTGCCAATCTCCACTAAACGACAGCCAAACAATTCATTGCTCCAAAAAAAAGTAATAGGCGCTTAATACTACAACCCGAAGCTGTATCTCCCATGACATTTTCAAAACCTACATCAACCGTCAAAACAGCTCCCCTGGACTCTTCACTACAAACCCTCTACGATAAAATTAAGATCTTGCAGAAGCAACTAAAATCCGCAGAAAAGGAGATATTGAAGCTGAAAAAATATATTGATACATTGGAACAAAGACTATCATATGACTCACAAGAGATTCTTGAAAGGACGAACATTGAATGCTGTAGACATGCTGACGATAGTAAACGGATATTTGTCTTCGGAACGCAACGCTGTATTGGGCTGTCGGCAGCCTTAATGCGTACAAGACAGCACACACAATATGAAAAATACGTCGTTACTGCACAAACAAAGCCGTATGCACTGTCCCCAGATGTATTATGTAATGTAAACAATTTAAAAGTTAATTCTAGTGACAAAATAATAATTTGTATTGGAGAAAACGATTACGATAAGAAAATTACAGCTGCAAACCTACACAGATTAGTAAAACAGTTTATTAAACATGACATAATTGTAATAAATGTATTGTCGAATAAGTACTTGAATGTAATTGACTTGAACCACAGTATAAATCGAATTTGTAATAAATATCAAAACTGCCACTATATCAACTGCAACTCTAGTAATGTTTTTCAGTTAGCTAAGTCTATTAATTATGTGATTGACTGTGTCGATTATGAACGCAACTATCTCAACCCTAACCAGCTGAGAAAATTTATAGTGCGCGGTATGCCTAAAATGCAAAATATTCAGGTAGAACCCACAAAAGAAACCATTCCACATTTCTTTTCTCGAGCCCTACCAAGGAATAATAGCTCTAACGATACTGCTATTACCAAATCATCGCGATTAAATCAAACTACTTTACATCAGTTTTTCCCACGAATAAATAAAAACAATTCATTTCGCACCTCAAGGCAATAAAACCAAAAATCATTTCAATATAATGCACCAAAACATTGCCAGTATACTAGCAAAGCAAGATATTCTGGAAATCACTTTAGAGGAACTAAACAAGTCTGGTAATGAGCCGGATTTGATATGTCTCTCTGAAACCTTTTTGAAAACAGGCAACGAAAAATATATAAACCTTAATAATTATAAGTTGGCAACAGCCTTTTGTAGAGATAAGCAGAGGGGTGGCACATGTATCTTAGCAAAAAAAAAAGAACAGTACTTACCGGGAAATTACAAAACTAAAAGCGTATGCAACCCAAAACACTTTCGAGGTTTGTGGAATTGAAATACCTCTGCATAAATTAATAGTTATATGTATCTATCGTACACCCAAATCAGACCCTAAAGTCTTCCTACATAAACTAGACCAGCTATTATTTGACCTATTAAGAAAGCATAAACATGATACCAAAATTGTCTTGACTGGTGACTTTAACATCAACACTTTAAAAAAAGGTAATATTGCAATCTTTTTTAGTGATTTATGTCGTAATTATAATTTGAATATACATATTAATGTACCAACTCGCAAAGATTCATGTATTGACCATGTCCTTAGCAATATCAAAGACGCTACTGCCAAAGTGATTCCCCTATATCTATCGGATCATGACACCGCACAGCTTTTAAGTTTTCCAGTTCGCCAATCTTTTAAACCAAGGTCATTTACTATATTGAGAAAGGACTACAGTTGTGAAAACATCCGCAAATTCAGGGAGTGTCTAGACAGTATGACTTGGAGCAAAATTTACTCGAACACTGATCTCAACACGGCATTCGCAGAGTTTCATCTTGAACTTTGTCTATTCTACAACCTATGTTTCCCAGTAAAAAAAATTCGGATCAATAATTCTATTACACATAAACCAAAATGGATAAGCAACGGGCTGAAAACTAGCTGTAAAACAAAGCGGTTATTACGTTTCAGATACTATAAAAGTAAAACGGAAAAAAATAAAAATGAATATTTAACGTACTCCAAAATTTTAAGAAAATGCATTGACAATTCAAAAAAGAATTCTAATATGAAATTTATTACTAATAGTAAAAATAAATGTAAAGCGACATGGACAATAATAAAAAATGAAACCTGTTATTCCAAAGTAGATAATAACATTTCCGAAATAAATTTTGATCATAAGATATTGACCAATCCTTCTGACATAGCTGCGGCTTTCAATAATTATTTCATAGAACTGACTAATTTTAAAGATACTACAATGATTAATACACAACGAAATCAAAATACCAAGATTATGCCAAATTCAATGTTTCTTCTTCCAATAAATGAAAATGAAGTTAAAAAAAGAAATTATTAGCCTAAACAATACTAACTCTGAGGGTTTTGACGGAATCTGTACGAGAATTATTAAAGAATGTACTAAAGAGCTTGTGCCCATCTTAACACACCTTATAAACCTCTCATTCTCAATGGGTATTTTTCCTGAGTTGCTGAAGCAATCTATCGTCAAGCCTCTGCACAAAAAAAGGTGCAAAAGATGAGGTCAGCAACTATCGTCCCATTACTTTAATTCCAATTCTATCTAAGATATTTGAGAAATGCATGCATCAAAGAATAATGAAATACTGTAACACGTATAATATTATTAATAAAGAACAGTTTGGATTTCAAAAGGAAAAGTCCACAACATTAGCAATCTTCACTCTAGTTAAAACAATATTAAATAATTTAAATGACGGATATTTGACCACAGGACTATTTTTTGACATGTCAAAGGCTTTTGATTTTGTTGATCACAAACTTTTATTAAATAAATTAGAATCAATAGGAATAAGAGGACCCACTTATCAGTGGCTAAAATCCTACTTAAACAATCGAAGTCAACGCGTAGTAGTCAGCAAGTTAGTAGGCGACGAAGTTTTATCTTACGCTTCTGAATCAAAAATTGTTGAGTGTGGTATCCCCCAAGGAAGTGTGCTAGGGCCTCTAATGTTTATTTTATATATCAATGATATAACGGTAGTGACAAATCATAAATGTGTTTTGTTCGCCGATGATCTATCTATTATTGTGACATCTGAAAAAAACTCTATACACGATCACGAAACTGATATAAATAAAACAATTGACAACGTTATTAAATGGCTAAACGTAAACAATTTAAAACTAAATCTAAATAAATCACATTTTATCCAATTTAATCAATCCAAACATAAACAATTAAATTTTAAGCTAAATATTAATAAATTAAAGGAAATAAGGTCTACCAAGTTTCTGGGAGTAGTCATAGACCAGGACCTAAACTGGAAATTACATATAGAGTCTTTGTGTAATCGTATTAATAGTTTTGTATATGCCCTTAACAAAATGAGAAAAGTGACAAACTTACAAACGGCTCTTATTACATACCACGCGTATATAGCTTCCATTTTGCGCTACGGGATAATAATGTGGGGAAATAGCACAAATATACAAAAGGCGTTTATAGCTCAAAAAAAAGTGTATTAGAGCTATCTCTGGAATACCGCCTGGCATATCCTGTAGAACAGTTTTTGCAAATCTCAACATACTTCCGCTGCCGGCACTATATATTTTTGAAATAAGCTGTTTCGTGAAGAGAAATATCAATTTGTTTATGAAAGCAAGTGACATGAACACAAGATTGAAGCGAAATCCTAATAGACTTGTGTTAGACGTTATCCCAAGGTCAGCTAAATACCATAAAAGTTGCCTAAAAATGTGTTTAACGATATATAATATAATTCCTAATGACATCAAAAATTTAAATATTAATCAATTTAAATCAAAATTATTTAAGTGGCTCATTGACAGAAAAATATATGACATTAAAGACTTTATTGACATCAATCCCTAATACTATTCATGTTATATTATATATTTTAATTTATCTTTAATTCAATGTAATTTATTGTAATGAGACTTTGTGATATTATTTTTATGATTATACAAGATAATAATATTAATTTTGCATGCTATTTGTAATAGCGAGACATGTGCACCTTTTTAACATGTACCACCTTTATATACCATGTTCTTACGCAAATAAAAATTCTGATTCTGATTCTGATTCTTGAAGTTGTACAATGTTGGTGCACCATGGGAGAGAATAGCCATTGACGTGGCGGGACCGTTTCCGGAGAGTGAAAGTGGTAACAAATATTTCATGGTTGTGATGGATTACTTCACTAAGTGGCCAGAAGTCTTCGCCATTCCAAATCAAGAAGCTTCAACAGTTGCGGATAAGCTAGTTCATGAAGTCTTCTGTCGTTTTGGAGTACCTTTAGAGATTCACAGCGATCAAGGAAGGAATTTTGAGTCTCAAATATTCCAGGAAACTTGCCGAGTTATGGGTACTCACAAAACAAGAACGACTTCTTATCACCCGCAATCTGATGGTATGGTAGAACGATTTAATCAGACATTGGAGAGGTACCTAGCAAGTAAAGTTGTAGACAATCGGCAACGAGATTGGGACAAGCATATACAACCGTTTTTGTTGTTATATCGAAGCGTTGTTCACGAAAGTACAGCAGTGACACCAGCTTTCGCAAACTTTGGAAGAGAATTACGGCTGCCTGCAGACCTGATCACCGGGATACCACCTGATACCCCACGCAGTATAACCGATTATGCAAATGACTTGCAGAACAAAATGAATGACATTTATGAGCACGTCAGACAATCGGGCCAGCAAATGTCTGAGAAGATGAAAACCCGGTATGACCGCAAAATGAACAATAAAGGGTTTGACGAAGGTTCTCTAGTGTGGTTGCACAATCCAGTCCGCAGCAAAGGGAAATCTCCTAAGCTTCAAGCTAAATGGGACGGCCCGTACTGGATTGTGACCAGGATCAACGATGTAACCTACCGGATACAGAAAGGCGCAAGAGGGACTCCTAAGATTGTCCATGTGGATCGCCTGGCGCGTTATGATGGGGCCGATAATGCTCGGGACGAGCATGTCTTAGGAGGGGGCAGTGTTACGGGCCTAAGTCGATGGAACTAGCGCCATCTAGTGTCAGAGACGAGAGCGAG